AGAGGAGCAGCCAGTCTGTGCTGCTTCTCAGCTGGAGCTGTCGTGGCACGGGGCCCCGGATGTGGCCTCCTATGAGGTCACCTTGTACCTGCCACCCTTGCCTTGGGTAGCTTGTGCCAGGGCTGGAGGGAAGCCTGCATCTTTCAGCCCATGGGTCTTCCTGTATTTTATTTGTTACCTCTTCTGTTGACTTTCTCCACGATTAAAACAGATTAAACCACTTTTTCAAAAGGAATAAAAACTTCAGAGTGAAGACTATCATACCATTAAATGTCAATAAATGGAATTAATCCATTAGAAACTCAGGGTATTTTACCAGATATCTAGACCTTCACTTGGATAAGCGCAGCAGGGTTATTAGGCTGTTTCCTAATAACGATTTCCAGGCCCTAGTCCTTGAGTGACAAGCACATCACTCACTCAGGTATCTCCCCAGCCTTTGTGTTAGTACCTTGACTATGCAGAAATGTCAACCAGGGTGACATAGTGAGACCTCATCTCAGAAAACAAATAACAAAAACCCAAACCAAACAAAGCTGTGCTAGATACATTTCAAAAGTGTTTATAATTGGTGTGAACATATGTGTATACTGTACATGATGCATGTATGTAGAGGAGTGTTTGTAATCCTATCTTCTCAAACTGGGGGACTTAAAAAATATTTTCTTAAGATGCAGACAGTTCTCTGTCCAAATTAATTCTGTTGACACCCCAGTGCCTTGCCCGGTGGACACTGACAGTGCATACAACCACATTAAATGTGAGTGGTTACCCAGCATGCCCCATACTTACTTGACATCCCATAGACTACTGTATGCAAATACTTTAAGGCACTAGCATTGTGAGAATTACCCTTTGGGGATGGGCGCTCTGTAAAGCTTAGCTTGGGAGAACAACTTGAAGTAAACCCAGAGCTTTAACATTTCTTTCCGACTCCCCTTTTCAAGTAATAACAAGAGTTGCATTTTAAAAATGGGGTTTGAACTTGAAGAAAGAGTAATGAAAGATGAGAGCCATTGAGACCAACGTCATGTCCAGTGTCTCATGTATGCCCACGTAATTTCGTGTTTAGGATGGCGGCCGCGCAATCTCACCATTTGAAAGATGAATTTTCCTCATCTGCTTCAAATTCTGTGTCTCTTCGAACTGAAGAACGTGTGTGTTTCCCGATTCCACTGCTTGCCTTTGCTTTATGAGTAGTTCAGAAGGAAGTTATTTTAGTCATTTGCTATCATGTTTCTTATTCTTTCTGTTTCTCCCTGCATGCCTAAAATAAGTTTAAAAGTACAAAATACTGTTTGGATTGAGTGGAAAAACACCTACAGTATTTCAAATGTTGTGCCTCTCCCGCTCCTCAGTGAGGCCTGGGCAGGAAGCGTCTCTGCCACAGGTCTCCAGGTATTTGCAGAATGACTATAGCTTACCATCTTTAGAAACAGCGATCTCTTTTGCTCCCCAGTGGGCCATGCAGTGCATCTTCTATTTATTTATTTATTTATTTATTTATTTATTTATTATTCATTCATTCATTTATTTTTGTTTTGTTTTTTGAGACAGGGTTTCTCTGTGTAGTTTTGGTGCCTGTCCTGGATCTCACTCTGTAGACCAGGCTGGCCTCGAACTCACAGAGATCTGCCTGGCTCTGCCTTCCGGGTGCTGGGATTAAAGGTGTCCGCCACCACGGCCCAGCGCAGTGTATCTTTAAAATATTACATTTCTTTATGGATTTGTATGTGTGAGTGCTTGTATATATGTTGGGGGGACATGTGTGGAGGTCAGAGAACAACTTCTGTTCTCTCCGTCCATCACATGGGTCCCAGGGGTTAAAGTCAGGCCATCTGCCTTTACCCACTGAAGGATCTTACTCTTCCCCACCCCCTCTGTCTCCATAGAAACACAGGGAAGCCGGTTGAACACAGGTCTCTGTGACAGACTCTTGTGTCAGGAGCACAGGCTTGAGAGACACGGAGAATGGAGTGGAACGAGAGGCCTGAGCAGCTGTGCCTTGGCCGTGCAAGCCACAGCTGTGATCAGCAGTGACGGTGACCGCACAGGGGACAGAGCAGAGCAGCCGCCTCCCCCCTCCCCCTCCTTAAGCTCCTCAGAGACCAAGGGGATGAAAGGTGCTCAGTTGGGAGTTTGTGGATAGAACACAGGTTCTGCACTCATCATCAAAAGGCATGTCCCCCTTGATTCTCCTTAGAGGCCCCAGGGACAGTGATGTCCACATTCTATCTTAGATACAAAGGACATAAGCTTGGTTAACTTATCGACCGAAATAACAGATCCAGACAGGAGTATTGATTATAGCGTGAATGACCGAAGCTCTAAAGGTGTTTGTGTAACTTAGCAAGCTTTGAGAGCTGGATAGGGTATCTTAGCTGCCGCTCGGAATGGCTCGCTTTCTTCAGTTAAACTGCTGAATGGGATGAATGGAGATGTGTGAACGGCCACGTCTATCTTGAAATGGTCCCGAAGTGCCTCGTCAGCTCACTGGTGCCAGCAGCACACGACAAAAGTCACAGAATTTACTCAGAAGGCCTGGCTCCTATGTCAGTAACGTCAATCTTCCTTTGGTGTTTGGATCATTCTGTCAGTAATACAACAGAAAATAGGCCGCTTATCTGAGGCCTTGTGTACATGGGAATGAGTTCATACTTGCATTTGTTCACGGCAGAGGTAATTAGCCCTCTGGGAGGCTCTTCTGTTCCTCTGTCTGTGCCCAAGAAAATTCGAGAAAAACCAACTTCCAGTTGGATTTGAACTGACTTTTATCTTTCCATTATGTGATGACAGATTAAAATATATATGAAGAATTAGATAGCCCTTGACCGGCTTTCCATAAGAGAAGCAAAATAATACAGACATGTGAAGGATAACTTGAAAAACAATCCAAGGAAAGTTTGAAATTAGGAGGAAATGTATTGTGTTTAAAAGACGGGACAGTTGTAAGTTTCCCCTGTGCTTTTGGAAATGTGGGGTCTATTAATTCAAGTTTTTGGAAATTTGACTTAGGCACTTACAAAACATTCTTGACGGGTGCTTTTGCTGAAATGTAAGTGTGTGCGAGACCGGCTTCAGCTGCTGTCTGCCATCCATGCTGGGGCCCAGTGTGCACTGCCACCCCTGGTGTTTCCATTGTTGAGAAGCGCAGGGAGATGGCCTGTCACCATGTGTGGCACAGGGAGAGGCCGCCTGCCCTGGCGGTCCCTTTTCCTTGTGACGTACCCCTGTAGGATGCTCGCACAGGCCAACTTTGAAACGAGTGACCTGGGCACTGTAGTGAGGACAGTCCAGTGGTGGCCGTGTCGGGAGGTGGGAGGTGGGGACCGTGTCAGCCGGTCACGGTGGCAGGGGGGACTGAGTTGGTACTGTGAATCCACCTTGGGTGCCCTGTGCTTTTGTGTGATACATATACGTGCTTGAGAAGGAAACCGGAAGGAGAGAGATTCTCTCCTGGCACTCCCATCTCTTCACAGGAGCCTGAGCTTTCTTACCTTGCCCTGGTCTCTGCTCCTCCCCAGCCTCAGTTTCTTTTGCTGTCAAGGAAAAGGTGTTCTGAAGCCACTGAATTTCTCCCTCATCTCTTTTTATAGTCCTCCATCTTGCACAAAAGTCACCATGTAGTCTCACTACGGAAAGCAGTAACGGCCTTTGAACCCCGCTTGGCCTTCCTGGGTCCCCTGAGACTTGTGCTGTCTCTTCCCAGCCTCTCTGACACCCTCGCTCACCTTGACTCACCTCACAAGCATCGTCCTGTGATTCACCTTTAACGCCTGCGCTCTCTTCTGGCCATCTTATGCTCTCAGGGGACAGGGCTTGTGTCAGGAGATGTGGCCTCTCTTTTGCATGGGACACCCATGTGCTTACTGGCCCACTTGATATTCTGTGGATGTTTCAACTTCGTATCTTGGCCTGACCTTACTGTCCATTATCTCCAGTTTTCCCCGCTTCCTGTCTGCTGACGGTAGGTAACACGTCAACAGAGACCTGAGGACTTCCCTACATTTCTTCCTTTACCTCATAAGATTTTGGTATTGGGCTAGCTTTGCTGTGATGCGGATGTGTTGGCCATGTTTCTGCCATACCTTAGTCTTTACAAATACACTCCTAAGTTAGGCAGCGTCATTCCCGTTGGGCTTGGGAGGAACTTCAGGTATACAAAGGTTACATTCCTTGTTAGAACGGTAGACAGATATTCCAGTTAGTCCTGTGCACTGCCAATATTGTGTTGATGAGTTCATAGGAAACTCATTCCACAAGAATTGCTGTGTTGGAGGCTAGCATTTGATTTTTAAAGTTGAAGCTAAATTATCAATGTATAACTTCATAGAGCTCCTGGTGCTTACTCTGTTTTGCTTGATTTTCTGTTTAGACATTGACAATAACATTTCACATACACACACACACAAATGGTTACCTTTAATGTGGTCTTAGTTTCTTATATATCAAAGAACCACTAGATTAAAATGGCAGTTAAATTTTTTGTGTCCCGATTGCTTGGCATGCTGCATCTCTCATAGAATTGAATTTTATTTACTTAATAGTTCAGTGTGGTGGAGGCTGTCTCCCTCGCTGCTGCTGCTTCCGGAGACACTCCCGACAGAGTCTGGGGTGATTTTTTTCCATCTCTGAAAGCGGTAGGGTTAAGGACTGTGTGGACACCCCCCTCTTCGTTAGGAGCAGAATTCCACATTGTTTGGTGTACACAGTGGCTGCTTAGGGTGGACAGCCTTGCAGGATTCCCGTGCCGTTGCCTGGATTATCCATAGTCACGAGACGACACAGAAGGAGTTAATAAAGGTGACTGCGCCGAGATTTAAATAGAAGCTATGTTTCGTAATTGTCGACAGTGGAAAGTCATTTTTCATGCAACCTTCCAAACATAGCTGTCTTTCGGCGCTAATCCCCGTTCATCTGAGTTTCCGTTCCCGCGAGGAGGGCCGCCCTCCACAGAGCGCGGCAGCCGGTGACCGATATTCTCTTCCTGTCTCTTGCAGTGTAACGAAACCTCGTTCTTTTTTGAAGCTCGAAGCAAAACTGCTTGCCGGCATCTCTGGAAGTGCAGCGTAGAGCATCATACGTTTTTCAGGTATGTTGATGGAGCCTTTGTCCTCTGTTACAGGAATGAAGGTAGTGTTTGATGTTCAGGACAAGCATTCTACTCTGTGAATGTAGAAACATTTCTTTAATTTATTCAGCTCCTCATTCTCTTGGTTGCATTAATGCATATATATATACACACATGTGTGGTACATTTACATATGTACTGATGTTCAGATTGATACATATATATATATATATACACACACACATGTGTGGTACATCTACATACGTGCTTATGTATAGACTGATATTCTTTGCTCACATTGTAAGAACAATTCAGGGATAATTTTAAAAGACTGTATGTAAAAAGCTCAGAGTTCTGTAGTACCTGTGTGACATGGATGGAAATTTGGTGTTTTGCGATGAAGACACTGCAGTTGAAGTGCCCATGAGGGGTCTCAGAGGAGCTGGGACAGGCGTGTGCCATCATGCTCGGCTCTGTAGGTGCACTTTCTACATCATGACACTTTTTTTTTTATTATTGTTTCACGTCCTTTTGTTGTGAAGTTCAAAACAAACCAACCTCAATTGATAACACATTGTTTATTGACTCAAGATTGGGTTCTTCCCCTAATCCCCATGCTGTTTGGCTGGAGTCTTACAGAGTGACTGTTAATCCTGCCTGGTGCACGCCTTTAGTCCCAGCATGGGAGGCAGAGGCAGCTGGATCTCCGTGAGTTCAAGGCCAGCCTGGTCTATGGCGTGAGTTCCAGGACAGGCATGGCTACACAGAGAAACTCTGTCTCGAAAGAAAAGAAGAATCCTTTGTACAGTTTATACTAGTCTGTGAGGGGAAGGGGTGACCCGGAAGCCAAAGCTCTCCCCACAGCCCGCGACCCTGGGCTCAGGATCTGTCCATGGTGGTGTCTGTGGACAGTGCCCCGAAATGGGGAACGCTGGAATATGTCGTGCAGAAAGAGTGAGCCAGCACATACCCGATGTGATTAGCTGCCGTCCAGCCTTCACTGAGTAAATGAGAACAGTGACAGAATTTCCAAGATTATAGAAGAAGGTGAACCACCATTAGCGTTTCCTGGGAAATTTCAGAAAGTATGAGTGAGTTGCATGTCCAATTTAGGTTAAAGTAACTGGTTATGGTTATTGGACTGGACAGATGGTCCAGTTGTTCAGTGAGCTTGTGGTCCCAGCAGAGAACCTGGGTTCAGTTCCCAGAACTCTTAGCAGGCAGCTCACAACCACCTTTAACTCCATATCCAGGGTATTTGAAGCCCTCTTCTGGCCTCCATGGGCACCTGCACTCAGGTGGGCACGCACACGCGTGCGCGTGCGCGCGCGCGCACACACACACACACACACACACACACACACACACACACACACTAAAAATAAATCTTCAAAATAATAGCTGACTATTATTTCCTCCTAGTATGTAGAATAAGTAAAATATTTTGGTTATCTCTATTAGTTTTCTGTATAGCTTTGTGCTCAGATGTTGTTACATTCTTATATTTACGAGTCTTTGGTTTTCTTTTTAAAATTAATTAGAATGCCAGAAACAGAGTCAAATTCATTGTCAAGAAAACTCAGCAAGTTTGGGTCCATAAGTTACAAGCATCGGTACAGGTAAATGGCATTCCCCCCACCCCCTCAGGGCTTGTGCATGTAAATGAATTTTAATTCCGTTACCTACATACAGGCATAATGAATATGTGGGTTCCTTCCCCCCTCCCCCCCACCAGCAGTGCCAATGTACTGTACAAATAAATCTTTCTTGACAGAAATGACTTTCCAGTTTTAAATGTATTTAACATCTCCATTAACTATGTAAAGTTATGGGCTTTTAGAGCATGGTAGAATTTATTACATTCAGGATTTCATTTTGCTGTAATTATCTGTTATTTCCAATTATGTTCTGTGCTTATGAAACAAAGCAGATATTCTGGATCGTAATTGACTGGTTGTGATGTTAGAATATTCAGTTGATCCCATATTGAACAATTTATATTCTACATCAAAACATGCTTTTACATACATAACTTACCTACATATAAACCTGCTTATAGTCATGCTTATTTTATATCAACTTTGCTGGGCATATTGTCTTTATTATGTAATACTTCCTATTGCTCCAGTTAACTGTCACAGTCTTCTGTGATATTATCTACACCAAAAAACCTGAGGCTTAGGGACTCCAAGGGACTTCTCATAGTAACCTCGCTAGGAAGCAGTGAAGTAGCACCCAGGACTCCACAGCCTGTGCTTAGATTATTAGACAGACTCAGCCTGTGGAGAGAAAACCTGACTGCCAGGCAGCTAGTTGCCTTTCTTATCTGCATTAAAAGTGAAAGTGAGCTCTGTATTTTGAAAAAGCATTGGCTATGTTTCAATTCCTTCTGTTCAGTGGAGAGCTGTGATGCTTAAGGAATGCTGTTAGGGCCTTGGGTATACAAAGACTCAGCTCTAAGCATCCTGCCATCAAAGAGATGCAGTGTTCCTTAGGCAGAGAAGCAGGCTACCAGGCCTAGTGAAGCCACGCAGGGTGCGGAGATGCCACCTAGGAGACGGGAGACCACTCCATCAGTTGATTAGGGACATCACTGGATGAGCTGCTTCCACAGAAGATGGCAGAAGTCCTGTAGTGTGCCAGTTTTTAATTCCTCTTTAATGACTCCCTCTGAAGTCTTAAATCTGAGACAAGAGACAGTCATTGAGAGTGATCAGCTGTAGATGTCCAGTGCCTCCTGGAATATGGTGTCTAGGAGAGCATTCGCTCATTTGGTGACGAAAAGGAAAGTATTATTTATTCTGGGTACTTCTGATTTTGCATGAAGGTTTTTGTTGATATGTAAATATTCAGCCTTCAGATTTTCAGAATTCTTCCTTAGACGAGAATATGGTTATGAGATATTTAGGAAGGTAGTATACACTCTTACATTGAGAAGAACAGTCAATACCCAGTATTTGTGCTGGTTTTCCAATCATGGTATTGCCAAGGCTACAGAGAAAGTGCTTAAATCTGTCTCCTTGTCAACAGACTGCAGCTAATGCAAAGGCATCTGTCTTATTAGCACTTAGATGATTAAAATTATAATCATGCTGTTTAACATACGCTGGAGTTAGTTGGCGTCTGCAAATATAGCCATACCTGATTTCTCAAGTTTATTGAAATGCAAATATTGTGGCTACTGGGAATTATTATTAGAAATTATTTTTATTGGATTTTGCATATTAAATATAATTTTTCCGAGAAAGCAATTAAATGTAACCTTTGCAGAATTGGACATTCTGCTAAATCTGCTCTGATTTCATGGCTAATGTTAACTGCCTGGTAAATCTTAATGAAACCCAAATCTATTTATTTGTATGTAAGAAGTACTAACTTCATGCCACTTGTGGGAGAGAGGCGTTTCATCTGTCTGGTCAGAGGTCAGGCGGGACAGGTCTCTGATTGCTGGGTGGCCACTAATGTAGACTGTTTAGCGGTAAGAGTTGGCAAACTAACATCCTTTTAACCAGTATCACATGCCTGCCTCTTTATTCTGGAGCACAATAGCCAGTCACCTCTTGCAGCCTTGTGAGATATGGTAGCAAAGGAACTGTGTCTCAGGGCTGCATTGTGTGAATATGGATGTCTCCATGTGCACATATGCATGAACGCGCGTGTGCGTGTGCGTGTGCGTGTGCGTGTGCGTGTGCGTGTGCGTGTGTGTGTGTGTGTGTGTGTGTGTGTGTGTGTGTGTTTGCAGGGTCTCTTATGATGTGTATGTATGGAAAAGAAGACAGTTTTCTGGTCTTTCTCTTTTCTGTCTTAGGGCTTGCAGAATGCCAGGGTGATTCTTGCATCTTTTAGGAAAACTAGTTAAGATTTAAGAAGGAAAAAAAAAATCAAACATTTTAAGTGATGTGAGACAATCAGGTTTCAAAATTAAATTGGGAAGAGGACTGAGCTGAAGCCTGATGTTTTGATTCTCTTGTTTTTATTTTGAGGGGCCAGTAATCTGAAATGAAGACTGATTAAATCTCTGATTAAGTATTTTGTTACATATTGATATCTCCTTATTGGAGTCTCTTGAAAATCAGCCTCTCTTCTTCAGTGTTATTGGGTCCCTTGAAAGAATGAGTTGCCTGACTTCAGAGGAGGTCTGAGAAGCAGGCATCCTCCCTCTAGGATTGAACCGTAGGCGCTCTCAAATTTCATGGAGTGTGGAAGAGACCAGTTCTCAGGACTGCCTCCGTGGTGTCGGGTGCTTTCCCAGGCACTGGGTACATGATCTGCACAGTGGCCCACCAAAGAGGTATCCTGTCCTCAATTACAGGATAGAAATTGGAGCCCTCCCCTGGGAAAGTCTAAGGGACCCGTATACAGCAAATCTGCTCTCCGAAGCCAGGCAGCTCTCCCTGTTATGTCCCTCTCCTTCACTGTGATGCTCAAGGGCTTTGCCAGCCAGCACAGAGAAGACGGATGTGCCAGGGTGGGAGGAGACACGAAGTGGGGAACCTCATAAGTGCATGCCCATTACTTGAAACCACAGAGAAACAGCATACTGTAAGAAGAGGTATAGTATAATACAGCTGATAAAGGGGGGCTGCAGAGATCTTTAAAAAAAAGTCCCAAAGACCCCAAGGCTAGGAAAAGGCAGATCTGAGTTTTCCTCGGGGCTTGGAATTTCAAATCAAATAGCTAAGTGTTCTGTCCCTCCGAGCCTGCAGACTGATGGGTACTGACCAGATGGGGAGTCTGAACGCCGTTCTCAGCCTCGGTCTTGTATAGCCTGTAGTGGATTAGGTGACATTTCTGGACCTTAGTCTTATTAATCTTGGGAAGTTATTTTCCTATTACTTTGTTCCTGAGAAAGGAACTATGAAGAAAAATTGAATAATAAAATATAATTTCGTTATAAAATGCCCCAGTGGTCTGTACACTTAGTTATGTTTTTATGACAAATGTTTTTTCCTCTGTGAAGTGAGGTACACACTATCCAAGCCTTTGTGATGTCGGAGAAAGTCTGGAGTAGGTAGACCTGATCTTGATGCTCCAAACCATATGTAATAATGGAATCTTGTCTTTCTATGGGATTTTTAAAAAGCTGTTCAGAAAAAGAGCCTCTGCACATAGAGCCCTCTAAGCTAGAGGAAGACCGGTTTATTTTGGTTTAGAGTTTCAGAGATTTCAGCTGAAGATTAGCTGGGTTCATTACCTTAGGTCCCTAGTGAGGTGGCTCCTCATGGCAGTGGGAGCTTGTGGTGGGAGAGACTGATGATCTCATGCTTGCTAAAGAGGGTGGTGGCCAGGAAGGAGGAAGAGAGAGGAGACAGACAGATAGTTCTGGGCCCATATGTATATTATTCGTATTCACTCAGAAGGCACACCTCAGTGATCTACTTCTTCCAGCTAGGCCCCGCCTTCTAGCAATCTGCTGGACTATGAACTGACCAATGGATTAACCCATGACTGAGATGATTAACTTCACAACCTAGTCAACTCTCATTTTGGCCACTGGCTGGAGCCAAACCTTCAACATATAAGCCGTGTGTGTGTGGAGAGAGAGAGAGAGAGAGAGAGAGAGAGAGAGAGAGAGAGAGATGTTTAAACCAGAATGTCAGCACAGGGAAGGAAGCTTGGACTCCAGATCCTCCCATGACCTCTAGAGAAGCAAACCCCATGTGGACTCCTCTGTCCGTTTTCTCTCTTTCTGAACACATGGTTTATTAAGCAAGGGATATAATAAATGACTGATAGTGCCAGAGCTCAGAGACAAGAATCACACTGCTCAATTGCAGGGGACGCCTTACAACTTGCTGTGTGAGCACAGGACAGGACAGGCTTGTAGAATTCCAGCCCTTTCGTAGTCACCCACCGTGACTTCTCTGGTGTTCAGCTGTGAACCCCAAGGCCATCAGCAACCTTTATTTTTAGCTTGTCCTACCTAAACATAAACCTAACCTTTGATAAATCATCCCATCCCGGTCCCTCCGCAAGCTCTTCTTTATACCTGACGTGGCCCCTCCCTTAGGTTAGGGCTACTTTCTTGGTTATCAGTTAAAAACCTCTGTATGCTCGTGTCCTGTTGCATCTGTGCTGTTCTTCCTCTTCTTCTTTGCAAGAGACTCTGACTGGACGGTTGTTTGATTCTGTGGCCATATGGTTTTACTTTTGCTAATCACAATGTCACATTTTCAAGTGGCAGGACAGCTTTGCAAATGAGCCGAGATCTTTCTATCCAGCTTCCCCGGCCCAATCAGAACGTGGCAAGAAGTCGAAGCAAGACGTACCCCAAGAGGGTAGCACAAACTCAGCCAGCTGGTAAGTAGTCAAGCCCTCGGGCATTCAAATGATCCAGCAATTTCTTTTAGGCTGGTGTATAAAATGTGCTCACATGGTGACTACAGATATGTAAGCTTTTAATTTTTTTATGATCTTTTGAGTGCATGATGTGTGTGTGTGCGTGTACGTGTGTATATGTATATGCTAACATTTGTGTACGTGACTGTGCACACATTGGGGTTGGGTCAACTTTGGGGGTTGGTTTTCACTTTCTATCTTGTTTGAGACAGGGTCTCTTTTTGGTTGTTCATAGCTGTGCATACCAGGCTAGCAGGCCTCTGAACTTCTGGGGATCGTCCTGACTCTGCCTCCTATGTTGGGGCAGGAACACAGTGATGGCAGGTGCATGACCACACCCAGTGTTTTTACTTGGGACCAGGGGTTTCGAACTCATGTCCTCACACGTGTACTGCAGATGCCTTGGCCACTCGGCCATCCTCCTTTGCTTCTAATACTAGATTTTTAGTTTGGAAAGTTTCAAACCACCAATAATTATTATTACTGAACATTACTATTGTTACTTTGTGTGTTTTGGAGGAACGGGGTCTCATATATCCCAGCCTGGTCTGGACTCAGTAGACAAGGCTAGACTTGAACTCCTGATCTTCTGCTCCACCACCCAAGTGCTGGGACTCCTTGTTCGCTCACCACATCTGGATATTGATCAGAAATTACCAATAAACAGACAGAGCAGTCCTGGGAGTAGCTACGACTTCCCTATGATTATACTTTGGTTTTGGAGGCATTTTATTTTCCTATGACTATACTTTATTTTTGGAGGAGTTTTATTTTAAGTGAGTAATTTCCTAATTTAGTGGATGTGAGATTGAACCCAAATAACTTTTAATAAAAAGTCTTTATTTTTTAAAATAAGAAAGCATTGTTGAAATAATTATACGGAACCCAGGACAGCCTTTTAAAATTATTACTATTCTTTATTTTTATCATGAAACATAAATAGAAGTACATGAAATCATAGACAGACATCCATATGTGACCATGGGTATCTGCACACGTATGAAGTTTAACTGGACTACCAATGCTCGAAATTCTGAAGCAGTTCCCCAATCATGCTGTCACCAGCCCATCTCCCCAGACAGAGGAAACGAAACTATCATAAAAGAGAATTATTTATTTCCACACTGTGACTTTAGTGCTTGTATAGCCCTTTTCTGAGCAAGTTAAGTTAGTTTATCTGGTATGTGTTTCATGTTGTGTGACTGGATCATGCTGCGTGTTCTTTTGGGTCTTGGTTCTTCTCATCAGCTCTGTATACAGAACACCAAAGTGCTGGTTTCTAGTCCGAGTATTCATTCTCGCGCTTATCAGTTTTTCTATTTTGCTGTGGTGGACATGGTGCTGTTTAGAGTTTTTGTATTGCCGGTGCATACTATTTCTTTAATAAAGCCACCCAATCAGTCCATTTTAATGTTTGGTGCTCAAAGCTCACAGAATTTCACACCTCTCCAGCCTCGTCTGGTCCTCTCCAAGCCTTACACATGCAGCACCTCCTTTAAGCCTCATAATAACCCTGGAAGGCAGGGCCTGGGGGTGGGGGGAGGTATATTTATGTTTTACAGCAGAGGAAAACATGGTCCTAGGAGCTATAAGGATATGGGGGCTTTCTGTTTAGGGATAGGATCCCTTTTCTCCTGAGTCTTTCTGCTTTATTCTTTGAAATGAATTGTTAATAATAAAAATCAGCATCTAGCCTTTGTGTGACAGCTGGTATAGCCAGCCTGCCTTCTTGCCTGCCTTCCTTTCCTGTCCTTGTCCTTGTCCCGTCTGTCTGTCCGTCCGTCTGTCCGTCCGTCCGTCCGTCCGTCCGTCCGTCCCTCCCTCCCTCCCTCCCTCCCTCCTTCCTTCTTCCCTCCCTCTTTCCCTCCTTCCCTCTCTCTCTAAGACAGAGTCAGTCTTTATAGCTCTGGCTGTCCTGGAACTCACTATGTAGACCAGGGTGGCCTCGATCTCACAGAGATCTGCCTTGATTTACCCCTAAATGCTGGGGTTAAAAGGCGTTTCCCACGAAGCCCATCTTGATGTATTGTTCTGGTGTTCACTTCTTTGTTCTAGCCTCACACTGAGGCCATGAAGGGAGTGAGTGAGTTTGTTGATTCCTGGATATATGGATGACACTGGATTTACCATTTCTAAAGTCATTTTAATCTGTCCAACCTTAGGTTTCCTCCTCCCATTGGTCTTGGAGACACAACCCTTTTTGATGATTCTGTAGTGGCAAAAATAAACCGTGGTTTAAATTTGCAGTAGAGTACCTTGCTATAATCCTCGTTTCGCTGAAAAGGGCCCTACGATTCCAAAAATAGCTGGGTCAGGATTACCGTGGAGCTAATCTGCTGTGCACTGGCTTTCCTGCTTGTCATGAGTCCATTGGGAGAGGACACACTGAGACAGTCACAAGAAATGGATGCATTACTTATTACTTAAGTAAGAAGCAAGGGGCAAAAGAAGCCTCAATCCCCTGTGAGCCGGTCTCTCGGGCCTTAGTCATGCTTCATGGGGCAGGAGGAATCTTAACTGAGTTTGCCTCCCTTCTGCCACACCTGAGGAACTCCAAAAGGCAACACAACCCTGCATTCTGTACTCAGATGGTCACAGAGGCACCGGGCTAAAGCTCTGACCTGCATCCAGCATGCAGGGAAGAGGAGAAGAGCCCAGGCTGTCCTGGGAAGGGCCTTCTAACTCAGGATGTCACCTTCCCTGGGGGGCACAGGAATAAGGGCTGGGTGTGTCAGACACTTCCTACCTCAGCACATGACATTTCCCACACACTTTACAGTTAGTACAGCCAAGGAAAACTGGGTCAACCCAAGGTCACCCAGAGAGCTGCTGCAATCACATAGTAAATCGGTGAAGTCAGGGTCTTAGGCATACACCTCTAGTCTTCTAACGGCTGGTCTTACGTTGTATTTAACATATTGTACCATCTTTTTATGTGATATCTTTTTATGAAATCCCATCGGGTGAATCATCCTGTGCTTAAGATTAATAAGCAAACTTTGCACTCTTATTTCACTTCTGAAACATCATAAACACCGTCTCCTTCCCATCGTCACCCCCCCCTTTCCTATTTCTTTGGTTGTTGTTGTTCTTTTTAACTCAAAGTCTAATTAATGCTGCTCATATGCACATAGGTGTGGGATCACCCCACCCACCCACCCCTACCCCCGCAAGGGCGGCCTTCCAATGGCCGCACTGCTGTGGGAGGATAGTGGTGGTGGTGGGGTCCTAAGTTGAAGCAGATATCTGAGGCGAGCCCTCTAGTCTCACTCTCGGCGATCACTGTGAGCTTTCCTCTCCAGCCCCGCAGGCCCTGTGGAGGAGGGCCATCCCTGTGGAGCTGCTCTGAGAGAGATGAGATGGTGGTCCACAGAAAGGCCTCCTAGCATCCCAGCTGTCCAGAGAATCCACCTGGCCAGCTGTGCCCTCCCTCTCATCCTGGTTTCTCCAGCACAGCCCTTCACGACTGTCTCTGTTGCTAGGACACGACCATCACTAACCAGCCAGGAAAGAGCAGTAGTTCTTATTTGTTAAAAATTGTTTTTTTTTTTTTTTTTTAAAACTAGGCTGGAGATACAGTGCAGTTTAAAGTATGTCAGGCTCTGGATTTTATCCCTAGAACTTGAAGAAGAAAAAGAAAAAAAAAAAAGGCTAAATTCCACTGGTTAAAAGGAAACAAGGTATTACCTTAATAAATAACCTTGCTTAAAATATTTGAAAAATTTCATCATTGAAATGGCGGAAGCGGATTCTTTATTTTGGCAGTATTGGGGTTTGAACCTAGGACGGCATGCTTTACCACTGAATTATATCGCCAGGTTTGTTTCTTTTGGATTTTTATTTTGGGAGACTGGGTAGATGGCTTAGCAGTTCAGAGTACCTTGCTGCTCTTCCAGAGGATGAGAGTTCAGTTTCCAGCACCCATGGCAGGTGGTTCCCATCCACCTGTAACTCCAGCTCCAGGGCCACACACAGACACACACACCTACATAGAATTAAAACATAAGAAGAAGAAGAAATCTTTTTTTAAATAAAATTTTTTGTTTTGGGTAAGGGTCTTGATAAATTGTCCATGGTAGCCTTGGACTGTCCCACTAGACCAAACTTAACAATTTTTAAAATAGAGACTATGGTTTTTGGTTTTTTTTTAAGGACTTGCCCTGTATTTGGCAGAAGTGGAGTTATAGTTTAGAGAAGACATAGATTCTTTTTTACTCTAATAAGGCCAACTACTATTGTTTATAGACCGAGTCCTCTTAATGTGATCACCCAATAAAGTTTTAGAACTACAGCTTTTGCAATTATCAGCATATATTCCCACCCCTCATTTCACATTTTTGTATAATTAACAAGTAGCAATTGATTAGAGGTGGTTGTTGCTAGTTTGTGGTTTTAGTTTACACGCACCACCTTTTACCTTAGAAGACATTCTTTAGTCCTTGGGAAGAGAAAACAGTTGAGTCTGAGTAGATGACTCGCCCCATTTAGCCCACATCACCCCAGCTCTCCGTGAGTGTAGAGCTTCGGACTCACCTCTCAGTCGGGAAGAATAACTGGTAGCTTAAAGGTCATTGTGTTTAGCATCTGCCAGGCATAGGCCTTGGCACCTCTGTGAGGAAGTACATTCCAGAGTCAAGATTCTGCACCCCGCAGCCTGCCGCCCCACCCAGAGGAGTTCAGTGCCAGGGCAGGCAGCCAGAGCATTCCGCAAATCGGAGCTGCCTCCGTGGCTAGAGCCCCAGTGTGTGGAGAGGAAGGGAGGAGGCGGCGGCGGGCAGGAAATATGCATATTTGCACAGCCCTGACTCTGATAAGGTCTTGGCAGCTCAGGCAGGTGGGTTCTTGTGAGAAGAGTCTGCTGTCCGCAGGCAGTAAGGACAGAATATTTAGGCGGAGCCCAGAATTAGCTGTAAGGGACACAGTGGTGAGGCCATTTATACTGTCCGCAGTGCTGTGGCTCA